CTTCACCATTACAAAGATCAACTGGTTAATCTCTGAAGCCTAAGCTCGTCTATATAATATTTAAGAATTCAGTCCGTACCGCGAAGAAAACACTTCACTTCACCATTACAAAGATCAACTGGTTAACGCTGTTTAAGGAAATAATCGATGTTTACAACGAGAATCATACGAAACACATTAATACATTCTGTGGGCAGAATTCAGAATTACTTTTTGTAAAAGAAGGTAATACCACTGGGTTGTAAAGTGTCATTCCAGACGCATGAAATGGCTATCTTTCCCAAGAGAGACGAAAACCATGTGCTCCTGTACGTCTAAATAATTAAGACGCGCTAATTCTGTATGTTTATTATTTCAGGCATGTGGGTGAGCGTGTTTAGACAATGCTGACAGAATAACATACAGAGAATGATGACTAAAAAGTTGTTATGTCGACCTTTACACACTTAAGGTTTCTTGTTCGCAGAACTAAATTCGTCTCCAAAATATTCCGTCGAACACCGGCACAAACAATTAAAGCATTCTCATCAGCCCAGACTACATAATGATAAACAGCAGGATATTTAAATAAGAAATTCTTAAGGATATAGAAGGACCCTGTTCTGATTTAAAGTACTATCCCAGAATTTTCCTGGTGGGAATGAGGAAAACCACGAAAAGCTGTCAGGATAGCCGGTCTCTGGACCGAGATTAGAACCCAGGACTTGTCTAATACGAAGCAGGATATACGGTATATATATATTACACACATATCCACAACAATATTAAAAAGGACACGTATTTATATGAATATATCTTATTATAAATACAAATGGCGAGCTGTTTAAACCTAAGTCATACGGATTCAGGGGAAATGGAGACCGTAAGCACCTCTGAAACGTCGGTAAGTTTCTACCATACATCCCAGAAGACGCTTTCCCTTATCTAGATATCCTTGATAGGAAATTTATATCTTGTACGATACATAACAAGTGTCAATTGGATAACCTACCTCAGGAGACGTGTTGGGTTCCAAGAAACAGAGGATTTACTCTCAAATGCTCCCGTAGTTGAGGTGCCAACATTATCTGCAACAAATAAATGTTCCTTTGAAGACACACATTCTAAAACGTCGCCTACTGCAACAAACAGGCGTTCGTACACGCTTACAGTCGTCTAAAGGGCGCTACGAGTACAGCCTACATTAAATCAACTTTTCCTTCCCGTTTTCACAAACGTGTTTGCGATAACCGAACCATGCTGGTATCTATCTACTCCAAAATAGTAGCCAATATCTGTCACACTCGATTATTGGACAGCGCCGCTCGTTTGATGCGGAAGAACTGAAATGAAGTTCTGACAGTGGCGACTGTGGTAGCAAGAACAGCAAACGAGACTGTGGTGGGTCTGGTGTAGTCTGCGTTTTGCAGGACTGATGTCTTCGCATTTAAATTCTGGCTAAATTATATAGGAATGTTATCATACATGTTGTTCTTTCAACGCGATTTGCAAAGATGACGCTGTAACAAATTGTTATTAATGTTAAAACAAGAACAAAGGTTCATTCCCGTCAACTTTGACGGGTCATACAATTTTACGTAGGGCATGTAAGTGCTTACATTTAGGTTGTTAGTTTATTTGAATAAAAATTTTCTTCGATATTATCCATCGTCTAGTAAATAAAATATAAAACGTAAAACGACGTTTCGGAGATGGGTGAGATGTGGTGATGTTCTTGTATTCTGGGACTTTCACTTTTTTACTTTGTCCGGAGATAGGGATTAGCTCTATCGAGTTTGCCCAACTGAGTAGGACCCTGAAGACGGAGATAGAGTCCCATCTCCGAAACATCGTTTTACGTTTTATATTTACTAGACGATGGCTAATAGATAGGGATTAGCTCTATCTAGTGGGCCCAACTGTGTAGGAACCTGAAGACGGAGATAGAGTCCCATCTCCGAAACGTCGTTTTACGTTTTATATTTACTAGACGATGGCTAATAGATAGGGATTAGCTCTATCTAGTGGGCCCAACTGTGTAGGAACCTGAAGACGGAGATAGAGCCTCATCTCCGAAACGTCGTTTTATATTTAATTTACTAGACGATGGATAATATCCAAGAAAATTGTTATTCAAATGACTCATCACCATCGTCAAGAACTTTTAGATTTGTTAGTTTATATCCGGTTATTAGACGCGTCTCAAAAATACCCACTGAATCTCCCGATTCTAAACACGTCCCGATGTCCTCGGTATGTGACAACAGACTTCCGGTCTCCTTTTCCGCGCCACCTACTGGCTGTCTTCTATATGTACATCTTCTAAAAACGTCCAACCATTGCATACTCACCCTGAAGATGGCAACTGTAATGTCTGAATAGCTTTCAACACATATCGGAGGACATTTTGTAATCAGGGCAATGCGGTAGTTACAAGTCCTCCAAAAAAAGGAATTTAGCTGACTTGTGTACAGAGATGGTCGTTGCAAAGTTTCAGTCGCTGTGTTGAAAAACACGACGAGTGTAATCTGTTTACGTACGACGCTAACTGATGGATGGTTCTCGCCAAGGTGTTAACAAGGAGCCGGGCGTCGCACAGCGCTTGGGCGGGAGAATAACAAATAATTGCTTGGCCAATAACATCAGCAGCAAAAGAAACTTAAGTCAGGAGATGGGATTCGTTGCTTCGCATGTTATATCTCACCAACAATAGTCTAGACCAGCGTTTCTCAACCTATGGTACGAGTACCAGTGGTGATACTCGAACTATGCAAAAAAAAAAAATCAATAATATTAATATAAATAAATTTTCCTTGAACACATTTGGTTGACTGTGCTACGGTGGTCTAGCGGTTAGAACGCTGGCCTTGTAATCCTGGAGGGTCTCGGGTTCGATTGCCGGCGGTGCCCGAATTTATAACTTGTGTTGGGCAAGGCCGTGGTCTAGGCAACACGGAGTTTTCCTCCGTGGCATCCCAACAATTACTCCATTCACACACAGAAGAAGGCAATGGCAAACCACTTCTGGATCATCTGCCAAGAACGTATATGAACAGGTCCCAGTCCGAGAAAAGGACGGAAGGATCCTGTTCATATGGACCTGTCGTCAGACAGAACACTAAATAAATAATAAAAAATACATTTGGTTGGTGGTACGTTTTATGTGTTAAATTAGAATTAGTGGTACGCCAGCGAAGAAGTGTGAGAACCCCTGGTCTAGACTGAAACATTCTGTGGTTCAAAAAAAGACTTGAAAGGCGTACTTTCTGCATTGACATTCTTCAAGGCAAGTCGTCTCACGTAGGTCGTTTTTGCGCTAATATGATGTCAGATCACTGTCGTGTAAAAAGCGACTGCGGACATCCCAAGGCCCATATGGTATTTTTCGCTGTCGCTGTAACGTGAAGAATATGCAAAAACAAACTGGCAATGAATTTCAAGTGTTGAATATCACAGTGAAACGTCCTCTCTCTCTCTCTCTCCTCTGCACACACACACACACACCAACAGGCTTAAAAGCTGACGATCCCAGGTGTTTATTATAATTATCGGCTAATGAACATTGTTAAACTTATCCCAATGTTTGCGCTTTCAATAAGCGGGCACCACGCGCTCTGTTCCTCTACGTGACGCGTGCTAACCACGTGACTTGGTTGACATGGCCACCGATAGATTGAACCCGAACGGTTAAGCGGTCACGTGATACTGAATCACGCAATATTTTTATTCCTTCACGCCTCCCACCACTTCATGCCGTAATTTACGTGGGACGGCTTAATAATTGTTATGGACAATGGCAAGGCTGTCCAAACTCGTAATAATCTCATCAAAAAGCTGGACAGAGGAGAGGCTAGAAAGTGAACCTGTATTCTGTTGTCTACAGAGGACGGCCAAATTTTCACACAATTCGTCTGTATCCCAGCCTCCGTACAGTTAACATAATGTGTCTACGTATTATAATCGCCAAGTCAACTTCCTCTGCGTTGCACCGAAGCTGGCAACGATGCAAAACGGACTGTAAACATCAAAGTTCACTTCTTCGGAGCAGTGTCGACACGTGGGCGAAGCACTGAAACGAAGGGATTTTCAGGGGACCGTTAGGTTAGGTTGACAGCAGCGCGATGAGATGCGACAACAGTGGATGTGTTCTGCGCAGACGCAGGTCTGTTTGGCTCAAACTCTTCGACTCCGGACGTGGGACAATTTCGTTTTCGACTAACTAACTAACTAGATGGCTTACCGAACCCGAAGGTTCATCACCGAATTAACCAAAGCCCTCCACCGGACCCTGTCCTGGGCCAACAAAATCCAGTCTCCTTCTCTTCTCGACTTAATCACCCTGACAATACTGGGGGAGCAGTACAGATTTTTAAGCTCGTCATTGTGCAGTTTTCTCCACGCCCCATCGTCTTCCCTCTTAGGCCCAAATATCCTCCTCAACACCCGATTCTCCAACACCTGCAATCTGTGTTCCTCCCTCTGAGTGAGGGACCATGTTTCGCACCCATACAAAACAACAGGCAATATTATTGTTTTGTATACTTTAATTTTCAGGTTCTTAGAAATCAGACGGGAAGACAAAATATTTTGGATTGAGAAGTAGCAAGCATTTCCGGAATTTAGTCTCCTCCTAACTTCCTCACAAGTATCATTTTGATTTGTTATTGTTGTTCCCAAATATTTGAACTTTGTAACCCTTTCAAAGGATTTATTAGCCACCCTAAGATAATTTTGCCCGCCTGTCTTCTGATGACGAGATACTAACACGTACTTAGTTTTTTCTGAATTTACTTCCAGCCCCACTTGTCTACCAGCTTTTCGACATTCTTACGAAATGCTCTTTATTGTACTTATATCGTCCCCCAATAAATTAACATCATCAGCATATGCCAATAGCTGATGTGTCCCGTTCAATTGCAAACCCTCCTGCCTACCTTGGACCTTCCTGATTAGACGTATTTACGTCAAATTCTCCGGAACCGTGGTTCCACTGACAACTTTTTCTTTCAGGGCAGGAACCCAGTGACGGATTCTTCTGAAACTCCGGGGAACTTTCTGACTACCTTTCCTCGCAAAAGCAGGGTTGTGTCCTTGACCGAAACGCGCGGCCCAGCGAACACTTTGGACAACCAACTCACACATGAAAACATATTTATATCACGTGGTATTATCTTTATTACCAGTAAAAGCCTTAAATAACATGTGTTTACAACTGATAATGATTCCCACTGCCACGAAGAAACCAGCTGACAATCGTGACCCGCTCTAATTCTTGCATCATAGGACAATGATAAAGGGGGGGGGGGGCAGACACCCAGTCAAATGCAGGTACGCACATCTGAAACGTGGGGGCAATTTATGACAGATTACACAAGACAAGTCTTACCTTCATCCATTAACAATTTTCAAAATTACGTTATCATTTTTGATTAATATTTTTCACCTTCCATGTCCGTTATATTTAAATTCAACAAACTGTAAACAATGTTAAACATTCATAATTCTCTTTGTCTCTGACTTCTCTTCAGATAAGAAATAAATAATGAACCTATAAACGTAGCTAACCTTCATCAGTGGGATTTTACGAAGAACAAGTTTAAATGTTTACTTACGATAACATTCAGACACAAAACTAAGGTTTCTATCATGAAAGAAACTACATTCATGTCAGGTATCCGAAAGGGACCGCCACGGTGGTCTAGCGGTTAGAACGCTGGCCTTGTAATCCTGGAGGGTCTCGGGTTCGATTCCCGGCGGTGCCCGAATTTATAACTTGTGTTGGGCAAGGCCGTGGTCTAGGCAACACGGAGTTTTCCTCCGTGGCATCCCAACAATTACTCCATTCACACACAGAAGAAGGCAATGGCAAACCACTTCTGGATCATCTGCCAAGAACGTATATGAACAGGTCCCAGTCCGAGAAAAGGATGGAAGGATCCTGTTCATATGGACCTGTCGTCAGACAGAACACTAAATAATAATAAATAATCCGAAAGGGTACAGTGGGATAAATCTTTTGTTAGAAACACAGATGGAGCAATGGAGGCCTAATGGCTAATCAATGGAGAACAGAAAAATGTGAACATGA